GCATCAAGAGATCATTACTCAACTACATCGACGACAACAAACAATACGCTGAACAGACTTTAGACGTAACTAACTTAAGACGAGCTCTGACTGCCATTCGCGGCACCTTCACCGATTCCCCCTCAGTGAATGGCGTACTTGGAGTCAAAAAAAAAAACCTTTTGCAAAAAATTTTGCCTACAACTAGGCGCATTATATGCTTATCTAAGATACAAACCTCAGTAAATTTTGAGTTGTTCGAGTGCTCGAGATACATTAATTAATATTTTCCTTACAGAAATARAAAATGTTGCCTACATTTASKCKAAAAATACACCYATCCAGGATACAAACCTTAGTAAATTTTGAGTTGTCATTTTTCGAATTTCAACTCCTAAGTAAGTTGGCAAGTGATTCTATGAAACAACATCATTTAGTTGTAACAAATTATTGTCTTAGAGAAAATCTTATCCTGCCATATTTACAGCCTATTAAAGTTAGATATGCTTATGTGAAAAATATTTTAATTTTACTTTTAAATATTGAATTATTTTCACACTGAATAATTGAGTTTACTTGCAACAAATTGAAACAAGTGTGTCGGCCTATWTGTCCTTAAGCTCAAGTAAATGCATTATTTCAATTAATTTCATTGGACTTACGCTAGGGACCAAACATAAATCCTCAACAAGCATTACATTGCTGGCTTCTAACTCAACTCAGCTTTCTAATAATGCCAACCATCTCTGGTGTGCCTGCAACCGCACTCTGCATCTGCTACACATTATTTCAAATGCCAGAATATAGACAAAACCGCGCACAAACTGCAAGAAGATAACAAATGCCAGGCTCCCATTTCAATGAAGGCATACAAACTATGTGCTTCACCGTTATTGCTGCGTAGCAACCGTTGCAAGTACACGCCTTGTGTTCTGTGTTTGTAAGCCAACTATCTCCATCTTCTTACTCACCTTCTATGCACTTCTAAGGTGGCAAGAAGTTTACTTTACATTTTCTTCCGCACGCAGTGAGTGCAATGCGATGGGGCGTAGAGATTTCTAATTAATAATGCCACCTGTCGTGCATGAGTGGGATACGTCGCATGTGTGTCAAGGCGCTGCAATATGCACGAGTAACTAACGTGCGCTATTATGTTGCATGCCACATCAGAAATGCAAGCAAACAATGTCTAGCGCTTGGAAGTGGCATTGTCGCACAAATGCTAGCAAAGAAATCCAAGAGTGTCTAAGGTGCATGATAAATGTGCTATGGGCGTTAGGTTCAAAATAGCTGTGACATTAGCTATCGCCTCTGGTAACTAAAATATTCGCGCTGATCATAGGTGTCCAACAGTTGATAGTTTTCCGTGTGAAGTTTACAGCACCTTCTTTTTAGAAACTAATACCAAAAGCAACACATTAACGACTGAAAAATGTCGGCCAAAGCTCCGCTGAGCCTTGTGCTCAATGCTTGTAATCAAAGGATTAATGCAGATTTATGTTAGATATTTAAATTGAATACGCCGACATTGACATAGTTCACCGAATTAAAAGACAGTGGCTACACTGGCTAGAGAATGTCGTTCGAATGACTGAAAACACTCAAGCTCTGAGAGTATTCGTGGCAGTAGACCCTGGGGGAAGCAGAGGCAACGGAAGACCTCCACTTCGTTGGAGAGACTAGGTGAAGAAGGAACTGATTACACTTGAAATCTCTAATAGTTTGCCTTTTTGCTCCAATTTTCACCTCTCTGATACTCAACTCGGGAAAAAATTGTTTATATCTTGACATTCCTGTAAAATCAGATGTGTTCCCCGAACGCTTGTAGATTGAGCCATACAACCACCTAAATAACAGTATTTTAGGATTTAAAAAAATAATCCAACATTAAGAAACGTTATACTCGTATGAGTGAACATGTTAATGAATCCGATCCTTCTTCACTTTGTTAATAGTTTCTTCATAAAACCATGAAGAACACATAATAAATATCAAGTTATCTCCTTAGCCGTCTACACAGTCGGTGGAAAATTCAAACATTTCTCTTACCGCCTTTGTGAAGCTTAATATACTCCTAGTTCAACGGTTGTTTTCCACGCCACAGGAGATTTAATTTAAAGTTGACAGTATTTCATATGTTGCCTAATCCACTGACATTCCCTTGGTGTCATTCACTTCAAAAGCAGTGGGAATAAGAGTAAATACAACGATAGGAAACAAGGTTAGATCAATACAATAAAATACAATACAATAAAATTTATTCTTACTTCATCCTCCACGCTTTTAGGAAACTTACGAAAGATAAGTACCACAAAAAGAAACTTCGACAAGTTTAAGAAAAATATTGTTATTGTAAACGGTCAATTGAAAAGCCAACGGCCTACTATAGCAAACAATTTTTTTCCGGCAAAATAGGTTTTGTTTTTTTTTTTTTTTTTWTTCAACGATTGTTCACTTCAAGTGTCAATCACTGAAACTAGCGAAGCCCCAACCATTTCTGTAATACGATTTCACCTTTACTTCAAAATATGTCTCAGTTTCAGAGATCACCCTTGATTCGAGGAAAATGTCATCCAAGCGATTATTATTTTGAGTTCTGAGAACAGGAAATAGTCGCTGGGTTCCAGATCTGGAGATTACTATGGATGTAGAACTTGTGCATTGCCTTGGGTAAAAGCATTTTCCTTTTCCTTAAAATGCGACCGTTTTTCGTCGATTTGGTGCTTCAAACTCGAGCTGGAATAAATGTTAGATTCAAACCTAATACGAATACCTCCAAAGACTTCATCACAAGCCATTCACTTATTGGTAAAAAAAATAATAATAACAATAATGACATTGTATTTCTGGAGGTGTGTGGAATCGTTGCGAATGTAGGAAACAGCTTACGGTGGTTCATCTTTATTAAAATCATAAGCCTACGAGTAGTACAAAGACTTCAAAGACGGTCGAGTGATCGCTGAAAACATGCCTCGTTCTCTCCGACTTTCGAACTCTTCATCTGATCAAAAAATTAAAAAGTGAAGGTTRTGGTGCTTGAAAATACCAATTGTTAGAGAGATAGTAAGAGAGCTTGAGATCTCTCACGAGGCCGGTCGAATGATTTTGGAGGATATTTTGGGTATGAAACGCGTTCGTGCTCGTCTCGTCACGATAAAGCAGATTTTTATTTTAAATCATCGGGAAGGAAGAAAAAACGTGCCGATATTCCTGGTTCGGTGTATAAAAATTTGTTTCGGAAGGATAGACGGTCAATAAATTAGGTAGTTCTATTTGGCCGTGCTTTTGCGTGAGAACATCTGTGGAAAGCGGCCGGAATTGTGGAAGAAAAATTCAGGGATTTTATATGATGATAATGCATTATTGCATCGAGCCACGATTGCGCCAAATTTAAAGTCAAAACCGCAAAGTGTACCATCTATCAATCACCGTATTCACTGGATTTTTTTTCCGTGTGATTTTTTCATGTTCCCCAAACTTAAATTGACGCTCCGTTTTCAGTAGATCGCCCATCCAAAAACGTTCTCATGAAAAATGATTTGAGGGCTAGAAAAATGGTTGGCATATGTATGTTACATCTGGTGAGGTTTACGTAGTTTAGTAAAAAATCTATGCGACACGACGAATTTTTGACCGACAGCCGAATTTTCAAAACAAAAAATTAGATAAAGAAAAAATTCGGTTCTGTGCGCAAGTTAAACCTCCCTACTATACCTGGCAGAACTTTCTACCACTATTATTTCACGCTGAAAAGTTGTGACTTAGAAAACTAAACTTAAGCGAAACTATTGAACTTTATCACTAAGTAAAGTAAACTTATGCAGTTTCTCTATTTGATGTGTAAATAATTAAGTAAATAATAATGAGAAAATTTATTATACGTGCGAGGTATAAAATGTCACCAGCTGCGCAGTAAGTTCAGAAAAGTGGTAAACAACTCTCGTGTCCGGAAAACTAAAACAATTCTGTAGAAGAGTATATAATCTGAACTTCTACTGTAGCTGGTCTTACCTTGTAAAAGCATGGCCTACTGGGCGATAGCAACGCGCAAAGGTCAATCACCGCCAATGAAGATCACACCCGTGCTGAATCCCAATCAGCGTGAATTCCTCGAGGATGAGCTGCTCTATCGCGAAAAGCTGGAAATCTTAGCCGAAAACAATACGATCAGCACCGATCTATTTGTGCGTAAGTTCGAGGATATCGACGATCCCGTATTGCTGGACAAACACGATTCCTTTTATCACACCACCAAAAGTCTGCTGGTGCTGTTCCAGATAATGGGCGTTATGCCAATACATCGCAATCCGCAGAAGCCGGGTATGCCACGCACTGGCTACTCATGGACATCGAAACAGGTCTTCTGGGCTGTGTGTGTATTCTCGATGCAAACTACAATTGTGGTGATGGTGTTGCGTGAGCGCGTCAATACGTTTTTGAACGATTCAGATCGGCGTTTCGATGAGGCGATCTACAATGTGATTTTCATAAGTTTGTTATTCACGAATTTCCTCTTGCCGGTGGCGAGTTGGCGGCATGGTCCCCAAGTGGCGATCTTCAAGAATATGTGGACGAATTATCAATTGAAGTTCTTGAAAGTGACAGGCTCGCCGATTGTTTTTCCCAATCTGTATCCGCTTACGTGGAGCTTGTGTTTCTTCTCGTGGGGTGTGAGTATTGCGATCAATTTGTCACAATACTATCTGCAGCCCGATTTCAAATTGTGGTACACATTCGCCTACTATCCAATTATAGCGATGTTGAACGGTTTCTGCAGCTTGTGGTAAGTTCTGCAGCCAAATAGTGAAACAGCTTTTATATTTTCGCTTACATTCTCATTTTATAGGTATATCAACTGTACAGCTTTTGGCACCGCTAGTCGCGCTCTTTCCGCCTCACTGGAACTAACACTGATGAGTGATAAGCCAGCGAAGAAGCTCACCGAATACCGACATCTTTGGGTGGACTTGAGTCACATGATGCAGCAACTAGGTAGGTTAGGTGAAATTATGAGATTTTGTTTGGGTTTTATGGCCAAGGATTCAGAAAATCTGGGTTTGCTCTGAAAACCAGTCAATATCTCTGGATTTCATATGTTCTCCAACTGGCGATGTAGAGTAGGATATTTGTTCGATATGGACTTTATATATAATATAAGATAAAGTTTACAAGCCATTGGAATCTACAACATGGGAGCGGACTGCTGCCTTAACAATATTTTCACTATGTGGAGCGGGGTCCGACTTGTATCAGACCAAAAACGTTCACCACAGCAGTGTTTCAACTATTATATATGGAATACTGAAGTAAAAAGCGGATTTAGTGGGACGCTGTCTAAGCCTTCTTTCATACTGATTGATATGAGTAGCCTTACAATCTCTGATGGTATCCCACTCACATTCTCAGTACTACGGATACTTGRTGTAGGAGGCTTGTGCTATTAGCAGCCATTCATTTTAAAGCCCTCCTCACTCTCTTTCATCCTCTTTACTCACTCATGTTCTATCCCTCCATTCTCTATTTCAGGTCGCGCCTACTCCAATATGTATGGCATGTACTGTCTGGTGGTTTTCTTCACAACCATCATTGCCACTTACGGTTCACTGAGTGAGATTATGGATCACGGCGCCACTTATAAGGAGGTGGGTCTTTTCGTTATCGTTTTCTATTGCATGAGCCTACTCTATATTATCTGCAATGAGGCGCATTATGCCACACAAAGTGTCGGTTTGGACTTTCAAACGAAGCTCTTGAATGTCGATCTCACGGCGGTGGATAGCGCTACGCAAAAAGAGGTGGAAATGTTCCTCATGGCTATAACGAAGAATCCGCCGATTATGAATTTAGACGGCTATGCTAATATTAACAGAGAGCTAATCACTTCAGTATGTGGAATGCGTATTTCTTTTGAGCAAAATTTAATTGTGTTATCTTAATTTTTTCCCAGAATATTTCCTTCATGGCTACGTACTTGGTTGTGTTGTTGCAATTCAAGATTACCGAACAGCGGAATTACTCGCTGAAACAGAGCAGACCAGAGCTGTTAGCATAGGCATTAATGATTAATGTAATTTCTTATATTTGATGGTGGAAAAATATAAAATTTTATCCTTGGCATAAGCCGCGATCTAATAAAGCTCGATATTACGAGCTTCGGACTTTCGGACTTTCGGATATATTGATATTTTTGGTTTCTTGTCGTAGAGTTTGTAAGTCCGAAGATTTTGCCCTCTGTAACTTCACTTCCATTACATTTTTTCATTTTTCTAATTATCTAGAAGGAAGTGTATTTTCAACCGGTCTGAGCAGGACCCGTCTTTTTCAAATACAGCACAGGTCTTMCAAAGGTTTTCAGTCCAACTAACTTATTGCTCTTTTCTATARTTTTTATATATTTAAACYGTGCTTTTACACCSACATACCTTCAACCCGCAGAGTGATAAMGCRTCTGGTCCCTCCAGTCATCTCCCATACAGTCGTAGTCTATTTCTCCATTTGTTGAGAGCTCCGATTCGTTGCATCGTGGATATTGAGAACTTGATCAGCGAGTTTGGCTTGGATATTGATGATTCTGATACATTAATTTTTTCAAAGCCAAATTTATCTGTTCTTGACACATCATTTGCAAATTATCATTTCCCCCAGKAGTCAGAGAAACAGTTTGTGAACGAAGTACTCACTACAAATACGGCAGGCAGGCAATTATTACAATGAAATTKGAGGCAATTCCTCGAATGCTTAATCAATTAAAAACTCATCAATTAATGTTGTTCGAACAAAGTCAAATACCACAACTTATCAACATACTCGATATACAAGCGAAAGGGTTCATGCTCATCCACAGTCATATGTGTGAGTGAATACCTCAGTATAAAGAGATAAGCGACTCAATATCCTGTAGGGTATTTGTAATGGCTTTTATGTCGGAAAAGATTTTCAACTTCACAAGTTATTGCTGAACTTTGTTCGTTCGAATATGCAAATAATGGTATATACTCTGATTAGTAATGATACTAGCTCTCTTTAGTATAAAAACTGAAATGATTTTGGGCTATTTGGGGAGGTGTTCGAACTGGCTGAGGTTGTAGGCTAGTCAACTGAGTTCATACAACATACAATTGCTAGTAAAATATAATAATAAATGAATATGTGAGGATACGATAGTTGTTCTTGGCTTTACTTACCCTTCATATAACACGATATACCAGAGGCTTAAGAAAACACAGCAATTGAACTTTCTGCTTGGAAGTAGCCGAAATGAAGCRAGGTACCTCTGCTTACTATTGCAGTTAGAATACTTTCGATTAAAGTTTCTATAAACAAACATATATTAAATCCTTAAAAAGCATGCCAGACCATTTCTTTTAAGATATATAATATGTTAACTCCTACTTATGTATTGTTTCCAGATTTTATTGAGAACTTCGATAGATTCAGAGCTCTTTGCAAATCTGTCAGTCACTGTTTTTACGATTAGCGATTCCAATAGATCGTCATCAGTTTAAGATCTTCGATAGGCAGTTGGTGCTCAAAGACTATCGGAATAGGAGGTAAGGCTTCGCGGGAGCTTGGACAGCGCTGGGCTACCATTAGGTTTTACGTTGCAACAAGATCTTTTTGGTCCATGGTCGATCGCATGAGATCCACTGAACTCCTTACCTCAGTAAGGTTCGTTTGCTAAGTGGCGGTTCTAATTGGTTATTGCCCTAGCGGCGTCTATGTTGCAAAGATAAGAATTTTACCAGATATCAGAGATTTCAAAGACCCACTGAACGCTTTCTCCGCAGTAAAGATAGTCTCTTCTTAAGTGCGGGTTGTAACAGGTCATTGCGCTAGCGACGTCTATATTATAAGGTTGACCGGATGTCACCTCTAAGGCTCTTAGGATAAAGAATTATATATTTTCTCTCTTGACTGCTCTGTCTTTGKAACATAAAGCATGATACTCATATACTTGGGAGCTTCAGATATCCTACGGAGCTGGTGGCCTCAAGACATTTGTCGAGATGTTCATTTTGTATGACTTTACAAAGAGCTACGTATCACAGTAAAAGAGCGATTCTCATTTTGAGGAATGGCCAACGAACTTAACCCAACAGAATTAGTTTAGACCAAAAGAAATAGAAGATGGAACCATAGTTATATTTTCCGAAAAAAAACCATTGCTAACAACCAGTCTCGAAGTTCCGTCGAAATACTGTACATTAGCATCCTGTGACTGTAGATTAGGGTGCTTCAAAAAATTTTTTTTTACTTTTTTAATTAATTAATTTTTTTTCAACTCTTTCCCCCTCAAATGTTAGTGATTGACAAAACAAAAATCCTCCCTCAGAAATTTTTTCATTTTTATTGAATCATTCACTTTCTCGACAATAAATTATTGTTTATACGACATGCGTTCACGTGTGTACCAGATAAGTAAATACATATGCCTATATACTTACAAATATACACGCTATATGTACTAATTCTAGGGTTCTCCGTTATTCAAGTACAACTGCTCCTTTGCACTCGTATTTGCCATTGACAAAYGACKTAACMAATCCTCGTGTCATTGTACTTTGTTTGATTTCATTCAATAGCTTACAGCCTCATGTTGCAATGTATATAAACATATATACTCTACTGTGTACATTTAAACTGTTGTTGTAGTTCCATGACGTTTAATCGTTTGAAAATTGATTTGAAATCGTTTGCAAAGTGGTCGTTAGCATTTCAAAGGAGCTGGTGTTTATGCAGGTCTGTACATTTTTCAAGCTCGTAAAATTAATGGCTTCTAAATTTCTTGCCTAACTGTACATACTTGAATAAGGCAAAGTGCTTAAGCGTATATGTTCTTAATTTTTTTTTTTATTATAAGACGTAAAAGTAATTTGGATAAGTTTGAGGCATTTATGTATTCAACAGACATAGGCGTATTTAGATGAAAAATTCGGTAATAAGTCAAAATTGAAACATAATAGGGAGAGATGGTTCGCCTTCTCATTATAACTCGCTTTCAAACGGTTGTTCTTTGGCTACCCAAAGCATACTTGGTCTAAGACAGGAAGTCGMATTTTCGGGTGTCGAAAAACCTTGAMCTCTTARTTTATTTTTTCGTAGTAAAAGGAAGTCATTTGGTGGCAAGTCAGAACCTTAYGGTGAATTACTCTTCAAATCGATGTTTTTAGTGCTCAAAAATGCARTTATCACAGCCGATGTACGGATATAAGAGTWCGAATTGTCGTGGTGAAAAGTGATTAGAAGAACATTGACAAAAAATAACTGGTTACCGCGATGAACTTGCTCTTCTGCGTTGCTCTAGTGGTAAGGTTGCGACATGTCCTCTTTTTTTCAAAAAAAAGGCAATAATTTGCTTGGAAGTGCTTCATGCGTGAATCCATTTTGTTAGATGCGGCGCATTTGGAAACACTGATACAGTTAACTCATCATCTATCATAGACGTGTTTCGAAGCACCACCATCGAATTCTTTTGTAATATTTCTCTTGACTAATCGACATGAACCTTTATTTGAGTCATTGGCAAGTTGTGTGGGATTCAGCATGAACAAATTGTTTAACAGTCAAATGTTCAATCTCATGATAGGTCACATGCAGCATTAGTGTCCGGAACAACAACTAATTTTGGACGACCTTCACGAAATTCGTYTTGGATCCACGAACTCGATAGGATTTAAAATACCATTGAAGAAAACTGGTTCGTGATGAAGCATCATCGTTGCAGAGATAATCCACGTCGAAAGTTATAAARAATAATTTTTTGGYCGATATGAATATTTTAAGTGACTGTAAACAACACAAGTAACGCTCGTAGGTAAACGTAGGCACTTATAACATTAGGGATTTCAAACTTTACGATAAAGGCTTGAGATGCAAGATTGCAACRCTAGGGTTGSCAAATCGCAAATATMAARGGCAACCTACTCAAATTAATATTTGTGTAATTAAAAATATATATTTGTATAATATTTTTCAAAAGCTGTTTTAATTTATTTKATTTTTATTTTGTTATAAAAAATAATATTCATACATGTTGCTCTAAAACTYGCTCGTCGAACCAGTGCTGTTATCAGATAAAAGTCTGAACATTATTCAGAAAACGCAAAGTGTAAATTAACAGCACTGAAAACGTCAACGCTGCTGTTCACGGTGCTTTGCACTTCGCGTCATCGKYTACGGTACTTTAACGAGAGCCGAAATTAGGCGAATAGCAAGAGCGCCGCGCAGCTGAGAGCTGAGTTTGTTTAGTGGCGGAAAAGCCAAAAATGCAGCCGGTAAATAAAGTGTGGYCAAAACAGGCCGGAAAAAGCTGTCAGTGCAGTTGGTGCCGTTAGCTAGAAAACAAGCAATGAAATTATTACTACMAAAGAGAGAGAGAGCGAGCGCATGGAAGCATAGTAGCCGATAGTAAACAAGTGCAATGWGCGTTAGTTAGACATTGAGGGAGATGTTAGGAAGGGGAAGGAAATTGTAGTTGAAAATCAAGGCTAAAAGCAAATCAGTGAAAACRGAAACTTCAAATTGTTTTGATTTAGTTGACAGTAGTTTGTTTGTTTACTGACACATTTGATGATTTATTTAGCACGTGGAGGTTTTTTCTACTCTACCGTAGTATATAACCTAACATTTTTTGAAGTATTGTAGAATCATTCATTGATGTATTAGWGGGCTTTTGAATAATRAAAAATKAACAGTRTAMTTAACATCACTTTTYATAAGTTTACAAGGAAATACAAATTTTAATTTTGGTTATATAACGGGTATACATATATTGGTTATCATACGGTCATATTGAAACAAAATTTGTCTGACAAAATTACTGAAAATTTTTCAATGAGCATAACTGCATATAACTGACATATAACTGACAGCAATTATCACTAAGAAGTGTGGAACTGATTTCCAAGCTGAATCGGTAGAYAGTCAGTGTATTCTGTCTAAGCTTTGGGAGAACTAGTGATTGATGCAAGATATGCTATAACAGGGAAGCTACCAGAAATCTTCTGTATGGAGTTAAATAACATGAAAAGTTTCAAAACTTTTCAAATATAC